ACGGAGACTTGCCACGGTCTCCAACCCTCCTCCTTTCTCATCCGGGCTTGGGACCGGCCATGGCGGAGCCTGTACGCATATCATTATTATCTGTAGGGAAGTAGAATGGGGATTTTGATTGTTTCAGAAATAAAGTCAAGGAATGGGGAATAGATATGATATATGTAGGTCTACGTAGTTGGTCAGAATATGATAAATCAGGCTTATTTACTCTGCTCGAATTTAATATCTTGCCATCCCTATGGATGAAGTGAATTTTGAGATATGTTTCGTAATATTTGTCACTCTAATAATGTGCATATCAGAATAAAATCTTTCTTGCTTGTTTTAACATATGCAACATACGGTAAATGGCACTTCTTATGGGGGACAAGAATACCGATCGAGTAACAATAAAGAAGTTCTTCCTGACACTTACTGTTGTTTTCAGACAGCGGAAGATTCGCATCTGTGTGTTTGTTGCTCAGGATTCCATATGTTGAAATGAATGTTATCAATAGTTATAACTTATCCGATGATGGATAGATCAGCAACAGGAAACTACGGTTTTTAATAAAAATGACCCTTGTATTATGGGTTTACCAGCAGTCTCATATTACGTAATAGTTTCAGTGCCCCCGGCAATACTAACAATCTCTTATTACTTCTTTGGATTTATGCAGCGTAGTCGCGCCTTCCCTCCACTTCTTGTAGTTTACGGAATTGTTCAAATAGGACAGGGATCCAATGTGTTTTAGCACCTATAGTGCATGGATGCAAAATAATGCCACTTTGTTGCGTCGAACAGAAACAAGTTCTAGCACCGACGTATGTGCCTGAATCCATAGGCATATATTATAAAAATCGGCTTGTATTATTGACCTACTACCAGATCGTTAGTTTTCGATTATGCCGGCAGGAATGCCAATCTCCTGTCACTTTCCCGAATTTACACAGCGTAATTGCATCATTTCCTGTTCGTAATGGTGCAGCGTTTTATTGCACCATCAACTTCGTGAAAACATAGGCCCAAAAAAAAATCCAGTCATGAAACTGAAGGAAGATCCATATTCTAATGGTGACAAGTTCTCCAATAGCGTTCGAAAGACCCGCTTGAAAGCGGTTTATTAAAAAACCAGTAATACCGTGTTTTACTTTCATTATATACCCATACGGATCGAGGTATATCCGTTTGTGTTCGAACCGGCTTTTGTTCGAATTAACAAAGTGGCGCACTGCATGTGTTAAAATGCCATTGAGCTCTGTCTGCACAAATGGTTCCTTTGGGTTGCTAGAAGCAAGAAATGGGTGCCACTGCGCGTGTAAATCGAGAAATATGGCAAGAAATTGCGTTTCTTTATTCTAAAAGTTGAAAATGAAGCTTGCTGCATTAATTAGTTTGCTTGAGTTTCTATTACGTTTAGCGGTGATTGTGCTCATCACTTGTCTTAACTGATTTAGTCAAGAACCAACTCGGGGAATCTTCGTATGGTGCAGCGGTTGTTCTCATGGTGGTCACCTGAAACATTTGCAGAGGTGGTTCAGCACCTTCGATTTTTGCCCTTCCGGATGTGGTCATCGGTGTGAATACAACTGACGGTTTTCTAGAACGAATGAACGCGAGTCGCCGATTTATGTTGTTGCGTGTGATGTAACGTGTGCACTTTACTTTCGATTGTTACACGTCATCAATGTAATCGAATGTCATTATGTCATTGTATTTTTTGGACTTATTTTTTACGGTCTCCTGTTTTACTTTCCAAACCGCAGTCGAATTTTCCTGAGATCATTGTTGAGAATAGGTTAGTGAAATGCAAAGTTTACTTGTTGAACAAGATGAATTTTACGCAAATTAAGTAACAAATAAATAACATCAAAACTATTTAAAAAACGAATAAACCTGCCATGGCGGTCAAATGAACTGCGTGAGAAGAAACTGTCTCAAAGTTCAATGCTGCCGATCATAGGATCTTAGAATCTGAGCATACCAGGATCACAGACTCGAACCGGATATTGAATACACTGAAGCAGGACGCCCAAGCCAAATGTGTGGCTGAATGAAAGATCCAAAATAGCAGCAGATAGTTTATGACCCACTTGTTTCGACTGGCGTTTTCACACCTATTCCTATGTAATGCGCAGGTCGACGTAGTAGTGATACCATTTGGGTATACAGCTTTTTCCTACTATTACCAAATTTAATAATTTCTCGATCCATTCACTGCCTGATGAAGGCTTCTCCAAGATGCTGTCATAAAATTGTTCTGCGTTTCTTATGCATCTTGCTCCATCGGACTTCACCAGCTCTTCCTGCCATCGTCCATAGGTCCTCCTGCAGGCCTTTTACTATTTCTTGAAAGCCAGTCTATGATTCTCTTGTCCAAGGAGATCGGTTCTTTTTATAACCTGCCCGCCCAGTGGTCCTTTATTAAATGCAAATTTACACATTAGGCTTGATTTTAGTCAGCTGTTAAGTGGGTAAAGGCGAATTGCTGTAAGGCGTACGAATCAGGCTATAGTGGTCATATGTCTAGCACACTTTTGCATGATTTCACCATAGCACCATGTTTCTACTATTCGCAGGTCAACGAACTGCTACCCCTTTATCGAGTAGTTGGGTGAGCTGCTTTATAAACGAATTAAATTGGTAATTGATAGGGGAAAATTCTATCACCCTTTACGTTCGAACCCGTATTGTAGCGCGCAATACAGCATTGCAGACTCCTGTTTTGGTTCTTACCCTTCGTTCTCATTCTTCCTTGTCGTTCCCGGCATATAGCGTGCCTTTACTACTAAACGTTTAAAGGGTTGAATCACGATCCGTGGTATTGCTGCTGCTATATCTGGAATTGTGTGTTTGTCAATAAAATGCAAAATATTTGTTCTGCAGCTAACCACACATCTGAACGCTTGTTTGCTGCATATCTATAAACTTTTTCTGTGAAATAAGAGACTACTGACTTATGGTACGGAAATAAGCATAAGAGTCCATCAATTACCTTTACTGAAAGAAGGGTACCAGAAATTTCCCTATCATGAATGTGCAAGGAAAATCGACATTCAACCCCTTGCAAACTTATCCATCCATATAGTTTGTCCAAAATGCATCGACTTCTTGCCATTAGTCTGGACACTGAAGGAGCAGTCATCAAAATTTAATGGCGCCCAGTAACTGCCATTGACTGCGTACCCTCCAGTGTTATTTAAAGTTACAGTATTGCCTTATGCTCAACATGCGTGTACATATTGACAGGTATGCACTGCATGAACATGACATTGAATTTATACCTTGTAAGGGAAATGAGTCAAAATCAATGTGTACGAATTAATTTATATGCCTGTTAACGTTGCCTCTAGAATATTTACGTCTAGACGGATGGTGATGTGTATTGTTGTTATGGCAACGAATCAAGCAATATCGAATTGCATCTCTGAGGCCACTGCTGTCACGTAGCTATGATGCACCTCAGTTATTTAAAAAATATTCTGCCACATCAGGTAGTTTACAAATAGTATTGATTGTCGTGATTCCGATTGTTTTAGGAATCGTTGTTGCCACTCACTTGCTTGGCTTGGGCACCTAATGGCTCCAGACTGGCAGTATCGATCGTCGACAACTCGGTACTACTTTTTGACGGGGATGGCAGCCGAAGGGACAGATTTAGCAGCAAACCTGTCGACCCTAGGGCAATTATGCAATTTCAGTTGTTGCGTTTTACGATAAACTTTTCAGTACGGTAAATCAAGCTACGTAATCACAGCGTTGACCTTCTCTCCAGACTCGGTTAAGCTCGCCGTTGGGCAGTCGGATAATATCCTGTTTGTTTATAAGCTGGGCCAAGATTGGTAAGTTTCGAGGACAGCTGTTGCAGTGCTGATCGCTAATTTCTACCAGGTCCAGCAAAAAAGTCATCTGCAATAAGTTTCTGAACCAATCCTCAGTCACGTGCTGCCTTTGGCCTTCAGATCAGAAGATTATTGTTGGTCTAAACGATGGAAGGGTGATCGTAGCGTCAATTAGACTACAGTTTTTTCACATTATTCTTCAGGTACGTGTAGCGAACGTCAAAAGTAACAAATCATCAACGTTTTACAATGGCAAGGTTGCGGTAATTTCTTTGGCCTTAAGGTAATTTCTGATTTTTATGTTTCAGAGTGCTTTTCGGTTTTTCGAAATAACTTTATTTACAAGCTAAGATTTCAATAGACTTGTTTAATCAATCTTACAGAAAGGCGCTCGCTTTTTTATGAAAATGATAACTCGGAGGAGGC